ACGTAATTTTTCCCTCTTTCACTTTAAAGACAATCCTCCTTGTCCTGTCACTATCAGATAGTGTAAAAAGTCAGTCCCTCTCCTGCTTGTAAGCTTCCTTCAAGTACTGGAAGGCCAAAGTGAGATATCCCCAAAGGCTTCTCTTCCTCATGCTAAACAACCCCAATTCCCCCCAACCTTTTTTAATAGGAGAGGTGCTCCAGCTTTCTGATCATCTTAGTGGTCCTCTGGATCAGCTCCAAGAGCTCCATATCCTTCCAGTACTGGGGGCCCCAGGCCTGGACTCAGTACTCCAGGTGGAGCCTCACAAGAGTAGGATAGGAGGGGACAGATACTTCCCTCACCCTACTGGTTAACCGTCTTTTGATGTAGTCGAGGATTCTGTTGGCCTTTTGGGCTGCAAGAGCACACTGTTGTCTCATGTCCTGCTTTTTGTCCACCAGGACCCCTAAGTCCTTCACTGCAGGGCTACTCTCAGTGTGTTTTTCTCCCAGACTGTACTCATATCTGGGATTGTCCCAACTCAAGTGCAGTTAGTCTTGTTAAACCTCATGAAGTTATCATGTGCCCACTTTTTGAGCCTGTCCAGGTCCCTCTGAATGGTGTCCCTTGTATTTTCAGCTGCACCATTCAGCCTTGTGTCATCAGCAAACCTGCTGAGAATACACTTGATATCACTGTCTACATCATTAATAAAGATGTTAAAGAGCAGTGGTCTTAAGACAGACCCTGGGGGATATCACTTATCGCTGGTCATAGAGCTGTTGACAACAACTCTTTTGACTATGACCTCCTAGCCTGATCTAGATGTGAATGTTCCTGTTTATTGCAGGGGAATTGGACTAGATGACCTTAAAATGGTCCCTTCCATTTCTAAGGATTCTATGATTCTATGAATTATTTTTCTACCTAGCAGTCTAGGCTTCAAATCCATATTTCTCTACTTTGGAGATAAGAATGTGGTGCAAGACCATGTCAAAGACCTGGCACAAGTCCAGGTAAATGACATCTGTTGCCCTTCCTTTGTCCATCAATGCCATCAGTCCATCATAGAGGGCCACCAGATTAGTCAGGCTCAATTTATCCCTAGTGAAGCCATTCTGGTTGTCTTCGGTCACGTCTTTTGTCTTGTGCCTTAACATCTCTTCCAGGACGAGTCATTGCCTGAACTTCCACAGAATGGAGGTGAAGCTCACAGGCCTGTAATTCCCGGGTTTAAATTTTTCAAATATGATGGAGAACTACTTGGAGGGTATAATTTCCCATCAGGATGCGCACCATCTCTTATGTCTGAAGGTTGTCAACAGGTTCCCCTTGATCAAACACCCCCCATCCGCTAGATGACTTATCGGTCCCTAATTTTAACCCACAATCTCTCAACATGTTTATGACTGTTTCTCAGAGGCCACATCAGCCCTTTTTTTTTTTTTTTTTTCCAAAACCCTGGGATGGATATCTTCTGTCCCCATAAACTTGTACACATTCATCCTCATGATATGTTCTCGGACTTGCTACACTCTTTTACTGAGATTTTGTTCCCCTGGCCTCCAGGGACGTGAGAGGCATGGGAAACCTGAGTATCAGTGGAGGCTGAGGCAAATAACCTGTTAAGTATCTTATCCTTCTCCATGCCTGAGGAAGCCAGCTCTTCCTTTTCATTTATCAGAGTGGGTACACTCTATTTCGCCCATCTCTTCTGCACAGTGTGTCTAAAGAATCCTTTCTTGTTTTTTACATCCCTCTTCAAGTTCAATTCCATCTGCACCTTGGCTTTCCTGATCCCATCCCTACATATCCAGACAGCATCCCCATATTTTTTCCAGGCCACCCATCCCTCGTTCCATTACTTATACTTTTTTTTTCCTGTAGTTTGACCAGCAGACCCTTGCTCAGTCATGCTGGCTTCCTGTCTTCTTTGCCTGATTTCTTATTCTGGGGCAGGGGTTTCTTTCTGTGTTCTCAAAAAGGTCTCCTTGAAGTGCTGCCATATCTGTTCTGTTTGTATTTCCCTAAGAACAGTTTCCCAGGGTATATCATCCAACAATTCCTGAAACAGCCTGAAGCTCGCTCTCCTGAAGCTCAAGGTCCTGACTCCACTCTATGCCAGGCCTGCACTCCTTGAGATCATAAACTCCACCAGGGCTTGGTCACTGCAGCCTAGGCTGCCTCCAATCTTAATTTGACAGTCTCCTCCATGTTGGTGAGCATCAGGTTCAGCAGTGCTTCACCTCTGGTGGATTTGTCTAATACCTGAACCAGCAAGTTATCGTCAGTGGACTCCAAGATTCTCATGGTTTGTTTGCAGCTTTTGTGTTGTTTTCTTGTGTTGTTTTCCCAGCAGATGTCTGGGTGGCTGAAATTTCCCATCAGGATGAGATCTTGTGAGTCCACAATCTCTTGTATCTGAAGGTTGTCAACAGGTTCCCCTTGATCAGGCAGCCCCCTGCTGCTGGATGACTTACCAGTCTGGTCCCTAATTTTAACCCACAGTCTCTCAACATGTTCGTGACTGTTTCTCAGAGGCAGCTCTTCACAGTCTATCCATTTCTTAACATAGTGGGCAACGTCTCTTACTTTGCTTATCCCTTCTAAAAAGTTCATAACTCTCAGTCATGATATTCCAGTTATGTGAGTAATCTCACCATATTTCCATGACAGCAATAAGATGGTAGTTTTTCAACTGCACCATGGTTTTCAGTTCTTCCTGCCTATTTCCCATACTATGTGCTTTGGTATAGAGGCACTTCAGGTGGGCTTTTGGCCACATTACTTTCTTAAAGGAACCCTTCCAAAAACCTTTAATCAAATGTAAGGTTTTCCCCTGCTGCTTCCTAAAGTGACAGTGTTCCCTGACTCTTCTATGTTACTCAGCAGTACATACCCTTCCCGCAAGAAATCTAGTTTGAAGCCATGGTGATAGGCCCAGCCAGCTTGCTTCCTAGTATATTCTTGATCCTCCTGATCAATTGTGTTCTATCCCATGTCAACATTTCGTGTTTATTGAAAGTGTGTCCTAGATCGCAGAAGTCAAAGCTCTGGACATGACACCATCCATTCAGCCATTCATTCAGCTGGTCTGTTCTCTTCCTTCTGCCCTCATCCCAGCCTCCTGCACTCCTAACCCCTTCAGCATATCCCTAAGGAATGTAAAATCCTTTTTAATATTTTTTAATTTCCTAGTTGCAGCCTCGTGTGAACCAGCTTGAAAGATCAAGTGTAGTCCTCTGTCTTTACCATACCTCATATCCTCTTCCTGATGTCCCGGATGCAGGCCTCTGGCAGGCAGCAGACCTCTCTAGAGAGATTATGTGGGTAGCAGATGGGTGCCTCAGTGACACTCAGCACAGACTCTCCAATTACTAAGACCTTTCACCTTTTTTTAGTAGCGTTAGTTGTGACTGGAGTTCTTGTTTGGATCTTCTTAATGTAGTTGCCCTTTTTGTGATTCTGAACCACCGTCCATACCTTCTTCTCTTTCCATCTCCAGAACTTCATGTCTTTTGGTTAGGGAGACTTCAGGGGCAAGGGGAGGGCTTCTCCTTCTTCCCTGAGCAGAGACAAGGGTCCAGACTCTCCCTGCACAAGTTTTCCCTCTGTCAGTTTGGAAGCCTGCTTACTTTCTTCCCCTTGCTGGGACCTAAGGCAGGGCTTTATTCTATTTTCCTAGGATTTAGTTACTTATTTTGCATAGGAAGTAAGATGATGATATTGGAAGTGTTTGAACAGTATTTCGTTTTCATGAATCATCATATGGTAGGAGGAAAATAACAACACTTCAAATACATTTGCTTATTGTTTTTTGCAGCTGTGTAGGGCTGATTATGATTCTATTTCTACAATGTTATACATTATACGTATGTTTGCTTCTAGCATAACTGTGAACTGCTACCAGCTTTCCAAAAGCAGAATGCTTTCAATAGAGGAATTGATATAATCCAAACATTAATATTTCCTTTTTATCTTAGTGCATGTAGGGATAAGGATATTTTGCATGTACCAAGAGAGAAATTTACTGCTAATGCCCATCTAGAGTGTCTGCCAAGGTTTTTGCCAAAATATTTCAGAATGTTGTGTAATTTGACTACCATTTGTTTTCTCCTAAGGACAAATATTCTGATTACTTTCTGCTGGACACTGAAGCACATAGGTCTGGAATAAACTGCTAATCTTAACTGACATTTTATGGAGGAATTGTGTTCACTTCCAAATACTGGAAACAGAATAGCTGTAAAAGTTCTAACTCTCGAGAGCCTGTAGTGGTCTTTAGGTGATATAATCATTAGATAGGAATGCAATTGCCAAAGCCCTTAGTAATAAGGGTTCTCTGTAATACTGCTGTGTCCTTCAATCTTGCTGTATCTTTCACCAGACTTCTTTATTGCAATCTTTAGAAGTCAGCACTTCTTGCCATGATAAATGCAGCTTTCCATCATAACCATGGATTAGATGAGAATTGATTGATTTAACTCCTGCAAAGATGAGTTGTTTCAAACTCAGAAAGATTATCTTACTTATTTATAAGAGGAAGGACAGAAACACTAGTATTTGGTTCCATGAAAAATAAACACAATATAATGTTAGTGAATGGAGAGCAGGAGTTTCTTAATCACAAATTTTTGTAAATGTATTTTTTGTGTGTTTGTGTATCGGTAGGAATCCATGATTCTGATCATTATCAAGCTTCAGAAAGGACTTCCCAGATATTTTCCTTCTCAGTCACATACTTCTTTTATATTAGGATGATAAAGTAATCAAAACTGTCTTTATATCATACTAGTTCACTCAAGAAAAAGCACATATAGAAATGAACTTTTCTATGAAAATGTTTATCATAGCTGGATACTTCTATACTTCTGTGTTAGTAGATACTCATCTACATGATTTTGATCATTTTCAGTAAAATGTCTCAATCTTTTATGTGATGTCATCAAAGGAAATCAATAATCTTCTCTGCTTTATTTATTTGTTTGTTTGTTTGTTTATTTATTTATTTATTTTAGGTATTAGCACATTAATAGCAAACAACGTTTATGATGCTGCATACCCACTTCATGATGTATGTATCCCATTAAAAATCTAGCTCTCTCATGATATTACTCAATAGCATGAAGGATGTTCCAAAATCAATGCCTCCTGTTTTATTATGTTGGCCCACTACATTAGAGGCAGATGTTAGTGATATGGCAACAGAGATTGAACACTGCTTCCAATATTCCATTATATTTTTTTGCCTTAGGGCAGTGGGCAGAAGAGGGCCAATCTGACAAAATGATGTCTGACATGGCATTATATATGAAGCAACGATCTGGAAAAAATTGTACCCACTGACATTCATTGACAGTAGCTGAACATTTAATAGAGATGAAGCAGTGGATGTTAGCACAGTGGGTGGTGTGTTTCAGCAGTGATGATAACGTGAAAGACAAGCCACATTACAGATGGCCACACAGATTATTATAAATGTGGTATTCAGGCTCTTATTCACTGCTGGCAAAAAAGCATAGCTAGTTGTGGTGATCATATTTAAAAGCAGTGTTTTGCAGCTCATAATTTGCTCTATCAAATAATGCTATTGTGCTTTTTGTATCTTTTTGTAGTTTCCATGGAAATAAATAGGAGGCATTACTTTTGGAGTGTCCTATGTACATAGACTTTAAAGATTATTTCCGGTAACAATGAAAATACATTCTATTATTTTTAGTGTGCAGTTCTAGCATTAAAACCTTTGTAGAAATATGTTTCAGACTGTGGCTTAAAAGTAAAATCTACACTGTATGAGCAGCTGAGCAATCTATTATTGAATTTACTGTTTTTACTTTACATTTTCTTTTTTTAGGGTGAATATGAATACCAAAATGATGACATGAATGAGAGAAAGGTACAGTACATTACAAAATTAGTGAATTAGTGTAATGTTAGGTTTAATTTGCTATGTTAATTAATGTCCGAAATGTTGTCATAAGATAGGAACCGACATTTAGTCAAACAAATGCTTTTTCAATGCATTTAACACTTATTACACTGTTTATTTTTCTGTTCTTTTGCACACTAAAATTTGTTTGTAAGACTTTCTATTACATTTCATTAAGTGTTTCAGTGAATTTAACTTTATGTAAATATCTTGAACTGCTTCAAGTTTTGCTCCACATGCACAGAGAATATTTTTCAATATTTTTCAAAAATGCAAAAGTAGTTCAAGAATTTATATGATTATTCTCCTTCCATAATCAAATGATGCTATAGATGAATAATTATGAAACTAAAACATAATTGCATTATTCATTTTATTGTACATTTACTTAAATTATATACAATTTTTAAAAATCTACTTTCAGTTAATTTGGAAAGAAAATGGTTCTAGCTGTCAAATGACTTGAAAATATATCACCCACCATCTGCACAAGAGAAATGGATGCATGATCTCTTCAGATTATATTTAGTACATATACTTACTATTAGGAATGTGTAAAAACATTTAATTAATGGAATCCGCTAAGAGACATTCCATTCTTTACTGTTTGTATTTTTTCCTTGACATTCAAACATTAAGAATGTAAGTAAGGAGGGAAAATTGTGGGGAAATGGAAAAGGGAAGGATGAAGAAAAAGAGAATGTCTGGAGGCCTAAAGTATTTGCTATATTCGAAGCTAAGTTGCATGTACTCATGGTAACTTGTAAATCATTTCATAAATGTTTTTGAATCTTTGATATTACATATTGGCATCTGTTATGTGAAGGAGAATTAAGAAAATGCCATTTATTGTCTCTGCTCAGTGTAGTTTCTGGGTGCAATTGCCACAATTTATGATTATTTGAACTCCTGATATTAAGAATGAGTTCATAGATCATTCAAGTAAATTTGATTTCTCCAATATTGGGTAGGTAAAAATCTGAAAACATAATCTTTATTGGTTTTGTTAAATAGTGTTAATATTCAGCCACAAAATGTCTTCATGAGACATATACAATTCCATTTACTATTCAGACAGAATTGGAAAGCAAACTATGCAGAAGCTTGTGTACTTATGTCTATAATTTTGAACCTTTTGTTTGTGAAGAAATTGTCTCTGAGTAAGTGTAGTGGTTTCATGCACTACAGGAGGGGAGAAGAAGGGGGAGAAGACCTTCATGGCCCCTTTCACTCTCCCATCCCCTTTTTGGTGAGAAGAAAAACAAAAATGACCCAACTGAGACAAGGAGAGATATGAATTTACTACAATGGTAAAAGGATATAAGATAATGATATAAAAAAAGAGTTACAGGTAATAAATCAAACAAATGGTTGAGAAAGGTGTTTCGACCATGATGTGGCCACGCTGCCCAGATGTGAAGAGTCTAGTTCACTTCCATTACCTGGAACTGAAGACCATGTAGGAAGTACTGGAATCTCCTGGGAACTGTAGTCTGTCTCTTCTCAGTGTATCTTCCTCTTGGAGAGCCAGCTCTTGTGTAAGAATAGCCAACACTACCAGTAGGTAAGACCCAGAAAATGAAGCATCCTGGCACCATGTTCCAGCACTAAGCAGCTTGCTGCATGGTGACATGATATAGAATACTGATAAAACCAGGACAAAAAGTGATAATGGTGATACATTAAGGGACTCTAAAAGTCAGATGCATAGTTTTCTTCTAAGATTAGTACATTTTTTAGAGAGAAGGAAGGTAAATGATCAGTAGTCAATGTAAGAAGATTGGGTAATGTGAGAGAAGGGTAAAGAGGGCCTGAAAGCACTAATACCTAGAAAAGCATTCACCCTACTACTTGGTGTTGCCTTCATTTTATGCTGTCCAGTAGACTCAGCTATGAAGTGTTAAGCATTAAAAATATAAAAGGGTCTTCCCAGAAATAATTAATTAATTATTCACATGTTTCTGCTGGCTAGACGTTGAATCTGCTGTAGTATTTCTATGCATAACATCATCTGTTTTCTATCTGAATCTAATAGTCTCAATTTTTATTTTCCTGAAAGGTCTTGATCAGATTTAAAGGAAAGGGTGGCATTTTTGTGCTTTATTCCTCTATCTCTATTTGTTTTGCCATTTTAACTTGTCTGCATCTTCCATTTCACTAGTCTGTAGTATAAACCCAAAGAATGATGAACAGAACTTGTCTGGAATATGTAGGCCAAAAAGGCAGCAGTAATTAAGCCATAATTAATACTTATTTAACCCTCTTCAGCATTTCATTGGAGAAAATGATCTATTTTCATTTGATTGTTTATGGCACGTCCTACTAGAATTAGTAATGAACTGTCAATGAAACCCACTGTCACGGAACTAACTAGATCAGTTTATGCCCGTGACAGTGGGCAGTAGGCCCCTGCCCTCCCCACCCCCCGCCTGGGCCCACAAAATGGGAAGGAAGGGGGAAAAGGAAAAAAACAGCGGCAACAATCTATGGAGGTAAACTTATTTTACTAACTATGATATCGGAATGCAAGATAACACAATATAATACAATCTAATTGAAATTGAGACCAATAAATCAAATAAGATAGGAGAGAGAGTTTCCGAGACCAAGTCAAACCTGAAAAAGCTTGGAACGGCTAGGAAAGCACCCTCCAGCACCCACTGCCAGGCAGTAAGAGATCGCCCCCCCCCGGAAGGGTCAGTTCCCATGAGTTCCGTAATGTATAGGGATAGGTACGTAGCATTAGAGCATTAACACTTTAATTCCAGTACATGATGTTTTGATGTGGAATATTGAAAATCAAATAAGCAAAAACCAAAACCATGACACTCACTGTCTTCCTAACACTGCAATAATCTTTTCCTAAGACTATGGTAAGGATAGTTCTCTGTTTCAGTGTGATTTCTGCTGTAGAAAAAAAAAAAAAAATCCTTTAAAGAAACATATTGCACAGCAGCATGTTAATAACTTGCAATGATAATTAATGCTAATTTAGTTTTTTTAAACTTCTAATTAACCCTTCAATACTAGAAATATGTTTGACGCTGAGAAATATACATGGGATTCATTACCTGTCTGGGAATTACTCAGCTGTTATATATTATAGCATATATTATTACAACATCCATAGGTTATTAGAAGCAGATTGAAAAAATGTTATCATAAATCTACATAGAATTCTGCTTTAAGTGAAATTGATAAAATACAAAAAACTATATTAGGAAACCCTTTTCAGAATTCATTTCAATTTAGTAAAAATCAGGAAAGGAAGCCCATTCCTTTCTCCATACTAATCTTAATCTTATAAAATTGTATTGCTAAGTCTAAGGGTTAGTGTATGCAGCACATGAGTGGAAAATATCCATACCATAAACTCACTTTCAGTGTTATGTCTTTTGGAATTGACATTACCAATGTGATTCTGCTGTCTGATAAAATGCTGCAGGAAACTGTTCCTAAAATGATTGAAATTTTAAAAGACCTGTCTTTCTGCTCTTCACTTTCAATCCTCTAGCTTTCAAGTAGTCCTAATAATTTAATAGTTTTAACATTCTTGTTTCAGTGAAAGCACTTACCAGTAGGGTTATGTATGAAACTAAACCAGATTATAGGCAAGGGGTGATTTTAAGGTGGTAACCACAAGAATTCATATGAAAATATCAATATGTCATCCAGGGCAAAGCTGCTGCTGAAGCTGAAGAAAATTGAGCCTAGTTTCACCATTTCTTCATACAAATGCAAAGCATTTTTCAAGACTGTGCTCTGTAACAGCAATGTTCTGTAATATAAGATTCTACACTCCTTGAATCTCATTGCAGAATTTTCAATTTCTTCAGTGGGGTGGGATTTACTCCCTTATCTAAGACCAGAAAGTACTCTGAAGTGAATCATTAACAATTACACATTGGCATAGCTCCATTTCCTTAAATGGCTGCAAGCCAGTTTCCTTATTCTGAACAATAATAATCAGGTAGATAGGTGTCTGTGGGATTCAAATCTTAATTGCTCTGATGATATTTACCTAATCCTGTCACACAGCATCTGCAGGAGAAGAGGCATTATAAACATTAGAAAAGTAAGAATGGGAAACCTCAAAAAATAGCGAGATAAAAAATTCTACATCTTATTGTTATCTTACTAATTGTTTTTGAGAATCTTTGTTGTTTCCTTTGTTTCTGTTAAAGAAATCAATAGTACAAATATTTAATTTATCTGCAGAATGTACTCTGTTTTCTTTATTCTGATTCGTGTGCATGTGTTTCTCGTTTTGTCTTCCTCTCCTGCTATTTTTAAACTTACTGCCCAGTCCTAGCCAAATCTGACAGAATAGTAGACATCTCCAAGGTATTAACTGTGCAGTTACATTGCTCCATATTTGCTACAGTTTCTGTGAGACTAGCAAGCCACAGACAGTGATTACAGAAAGGGAACAGGTAGTCCCTTGGGAGACACAGAAATTCCACACAGAAATATTCTTAAGATGTAGTTTCCTTACTACTCTACTGTACTAGTAATGATGCAGTGCCTTATTTTTAAGGAGCTGACCTCACCTCTTATGTGTTACTCCTTCTTTCCGCACCCTCTCTATTTTGTTTTTGAAATTAGGGACAAAAGGCTTGACATGTCTTTTTGGATAAAACCATACTCTGCATTCACAATCAATAAATAATGATGTAATTCATTTACTTTCATTTATCAACATGTTCTTGTTTTCATTTATTATTTTTTTAAATTAGTCTGTACTTCAAGAAATAATTTTCAATGAGTATATTTTCTTAGACTGTCTAAAGTCCTCCCACAGCATAAAAATGTGAAAGTAATATAGAGAATTCAGGTGTTTCCATAGAAAATCTTGTGGGTTTTTTTTGTTGTTGTTTTGCAGTTGTTGTTTTAAATGGAACTACCCTGTTTTTTTACTTCCTCTGAAGTTAAAACATGATGAATAGCCATCCAAATTTGTTAAATCCTTCTGATGTTTCCTCTAAGCTTCCTGGTGGTCTGCACCTATTTCTGAAAAGCTTGTTGAAAATCCTTTCTGAATTATTAATAAGTATGTACACTGTTATAAAATGCACTACTATCACATTAACTCTTTTGCCAAATTATTAATCGGGTGGTGATTTCTATCCAGCAGCTGTCACTGGTTTCAGAACAATGTAATGCCTTTCATACCATAATTACTGATTTCCTTTCCATTTACTCCCTCAGTTACCAGCTAGAGGTTCAGGGGTACAAGCTTCAGGGACACGAGAAATACGAGAATCCAGCCTTCACTCCTGGCTGGAGTGAAGACCAAGGCAAAAAACTCATTTAGTATCTCAGCCTTCTCCATATGTGTCTAGTCTTAGCCAGTTTTCCTTTCTCATCTACCAAAGGAAGTATGCTCTCTTTGGGCTGCCTCTTCTAGCCAATGTACCTATAGGATCCCTTCCCATTCTTTTTAATATCCCTCACTAAGTTCAGTTCTACCTGTGCCTTAGCTTTCCTAATCTCCTCTCTGCAAGTCCAGACAGCATCCCTGAACTCTCCCCAGGTGATGTGCCCTTGTTTCCAACAGCCAGTCAAATCCCTTCTTCTTCCTCAGTCTAGCCAGCAGGTCCTTGCCAAGCCACGGCAATTTCTTGCCTCCCCTGACTGCTTTCTTATTCTAAGAGACTGAGAGTTCTTGTGCTCTCAGAAGGGCATCCTTTTGTGCTGCTTGTAACTGGTAGGCGAGTTTGGAGTTCCAACACTAAATGTTTAAAGTTGTGTGTGTGAGAGCAGCATGAGGAGAGAAGGAGCTATATATAGCGTCCACTGGACACAATAGTCTCAATTGTTGCAGAAAATTCTTGCCACATTTCTTACATCTTGATATATCTTTACTTATCAGCTTATCAATTTTGAACTCTTCTTGTCTCACTTCACCTTTTAGCTGAAAACACTGTAGAGTTCCTTACTTGTGGTATAATTCCAGACATTAAATAAATTATATTAAAGATGAATTTTAGTCTAGGAGTATAATTGTTTCTTTCCAAAGATCTTCATGAAGCTATGGCATTTTTTTCCTTCTCTTTAAACACTTGTTTTTAACATTACAGTCAAATAAATATGATATGGAGGAAGTAGGTATATGGAGAAAAGGCTTGTTTATCCCATATTTGAATTTCTGGCATGACTGAAGTCTTCTTTAGCTGTTCAAAAAATGTATTTGAAAGTTTGTATTGAACTACAGAAAACTGTGGGTTTGGTTTTTTTTTGTTGTTGTTTTTTTTGCTCCATTCATTTAACTTTTTGACAATGTCTATAAAAACAAACAAGAACAGTTATCTCAATTTAATTTATTGTTTGTTTTGTTTTTATTTTATTATTTAGTTGCTGTATCGAGAATGGGCAAGATATGGAGTATTTTACAAGTTTCAGCCAATTGACCTCATAAGGTAATATGGATTTATAAGGACAACAGGAGACCCTGTTCTTATCTGATACAGATTAATAAGAGTTCCTATAGTTACTTCAGCATATGACATCTTAGATTGATTGATACATATGAAAAAAATTCTCCCTGCTTTTCTGTAGTTCTGATGATACCTTTCTTTCTGTATATTGTGTTATCCTAAAGAAATATAATATTTCTCATTACTTTCATGAATTTTTATTGGATTGTGATCAAAGTTGTCAATAACCAGAAACAGTTTGTGAAAGTATTTGTCGGTTTTGAAATTGATTTATTTTAATTCTGATTTTACAAATTTTATCTATATGAAAACATCCATGTGTTCACATTATTTTTGCTATTTGAATTTGAATTTTAAAATTTATGTCATGCTTCAAACAGAGAAGTTAGGTTTAAATATAGGCAAAGCAAAACTGTCACACTTCTTAAGGAACTTCCACCATACCTATTAAAACATAAATAAAAGGAAAAATCCCACAATATTTGTTGTACACTAGAAATACTAGATTATAAAAAAATAAATCTACTGTGATATTAGCAAACAGTGAAAAAAATACATCTGTTACTTCATATTTTTTCTACTTGAGAAAAAAGTGTTTATTTCTGACTAATCAAAGTGCAACTGGTCTTTATTACACAATCTACCCCAAAGTGATTAGCTGCAAGATCTAGTGTTAGTAATGTCAAGAAGCAATAACATTTACAAAATATAATAATTATGTTTGAAAAGTCGAAGTCCTGCATATAATTTATCACAGACTGAAGTATTAAATTTATGACGTGCAGAATTGAACTTTGTTGACTGTGAGATGTTTCAAATTGGCAAATGGAAGGGAGATTATCAGATCTTAGTGAAGTTCTGCAAGACAGAAATTTCCCTTTTTGCCATATTAATTCAGTTCAGAATTTACATAATTTTTTACAACTTTTTCCTACTTTTTTTTAGGCCAGGCTACTGGATGAACTATGTAAACCCAAAACTAGATTACAATACCTAGTACATCCTTAGTAGATATGAAAAATCTTATGTTAAACCATGACTGAAGAAATTCTCAAATTTTACCAGACTCGGCAGCTTAGCTGAATTAAAAATAGAGGCACATCTGCTTCATCTTCATTCATATCTTGCTGTCCTCATTACAATGTTATATTGTGTGATTTCATAGAAATTCTCTGGGAAAGAAAAAAAAGGTCCAGACATGCAACTGATTCTCTGTTCTCAGTGATGATTTTTCTTTCGTTCGTTTTTTCTTTGTTTGACTGCAAGTTTGACAGTTACCTGTAAAACAAATATGGTTTTTATTTTCTGGGTAAAATTAGAGCTTTATAGTTTATATACATGAGAAATTACCACACTTTTCTTTTTGCAGCTGGACTGGGTTTTTACATCCCTGTATAGTGGCAGAGGGGAGGGAAATGATTACTGTTACAACATGTCTAAAAATTGCCTATTGACCTCATATTTTGAAAAAATATTGTAATTTTTCTTTTTCAGGTTGATTAGACTATACTCAATTTTTATTTTTATTTTTTTTCTGGTTATGGAAGCACTGTGTAAATTCACAAACTTACATTCATTTATTTTACCTTATATCAAAAATTTGTTTAGTCTGAGATTTTCCAATCCATTAAACCTTTTGGAGTATGTTGTATCAATATTCATACCTCCAAATTAATTGGCCTTTTAAATCTAATTTTTAAGACAACATGCAACAGTGTAGATCTTTTTAACTCTTTCACCTTTACTCAGTGAGAATGCAGATGAAAGGTCGTTCTTTAACCCAAGATGCCTATAGTGGAGGACTGTATATGACACTTGTAGAATTATCTGTTCCTTCAGTTCCTTGCTACTGTTGAAGGTTACTGGTGTCCAAGTGAATATATATACCAGCGCTAGAAACTGTGTATTCATTATAGTCACTCTTGGCACAGACTGTGACTCTTTGAGGTCCTTGCTAAGGGTGATATTCTATAGGAGTGATAATTGTATGATTGGTCTTAGAATGTTTTCATGTTTTTAAAAATGTAAAATTAAAAAAAAAAAAAAAAAAAAGAAAGAAAAAAAGATAAAGAGAATCATTGCAATTCCATTGATTCCTATGTTCCTATTAGTAGAAGTATTTTGCTCTGCCTAGTATACCTTTCTTTGGGGATACAGGAGACAAGTTATTTTTTATTATAAATTAAGAGATCCAATGATGAATGGTGAAAGCTTCTCCAAATGAGAATACAGTAAGAGTTCTAAGTTTTTTATGCAGAACAATTTCAAGTAAAAATTTTAAGGGGATTTATAGAACAGATTGTGTAGATAGTAAAGGGCAAACTGAGGCTTGAGTTACATTAATTTAATTTTTGCTTGTCCAACTCCGATGGACAGAATGAGACATTTTTTGAGAGGGAAATTTTAAATTATTTTCTAACAGATATACCTGACTTAAAAAGTAGAAAATACAATTGCAATTCTAATAAGTGCAGAATTCTAGAGATATGTGTGTAATAAACATAATTTAAGTATTGATTTATAGTAGAAAAGACTTAATCTAGTGTAGGTCCTTGTAGGAATGCCTTTATCAATTCTAGTTCCCCTTAATTCTTGTAATATAATTTAAAAAGAGTTATAAAATCTACCTGTGATTAATTTTTTTTTTTTTTTTTTTTTTTTTTTTAATCTATGCTTGATGCTCTTTCCTTAGTTAAACATATAACCAGACTTGATTTTTACTAATTTTGGTAGTTAATGAATTTGTCATTTTCCTAATAGCTAATACCAGTGTTGATCTGGAGACAGGTAGGATAGGACATTGCCTAGGAGTTTTATGAACCTTCCTGAAGAGAACAGGTTTTGTGAAGCCTACAGTATGTTAAACAGACTTTTAATTATGTGATTTTAGAATAAATAAGTTTTGTATAGGAATCTCTGGAGTTCCCTGAGCTTAATCCATGATCAAAGCAAGGGTGATTTGAAAGCTAGATCAAGTGACTTGCAAACTTGAAATTTTTGAGGAAGGATATTCCATAGTTACATCTCCAGCACTGCAGCCCTCTCAAGGGGGAGAAGGATTTCCATCTGTCCTCTCCAAATTTGTCTTGGAATAATATCCAACCTTCTCTCTTGTCCTTTATCAGGGCACCTCTAATGATTTATGGCAAGCAAGAAATTAGCAAATTGAATTTATAATGAATTATACATCTGGTTCTATGTAACGTTCATCACTAAACGACAGATAAAGTGACTATGCTGAGGCTACTGATATCACGGAGAGTAGGCTATCTTTCTGAGACAAGAGCATAAAAGTTGGCTATCCTTCTGAGACAAAAGCATACTTAATGAGCATCTTGAAACACCTTCAGATAAGATCTCTGTATGAACTGAAATACTGGATAGGAGATCATCACTTTAAAGAGAAGACCGTGTTTTGTTGTATTTTTATTAATGCAAAATTACCTCACTCTGAGTAAGTACTGGAGTCACAGACTATTCTAAGTTGGAAGGGACCCAAAGAATCATCAAGTCCAACTCCTGGCTTTACACAGGACAACCCAAGATTCAAATAGTGTTTCTAAGTGTATTCTGAACTTCAGCAAGCTTGGTGCCATGACCACTCTCTTGGCACCCTGTTGCTGCCACCAAAGAGCAGAGATCAGCACCTGTCTCTTCACTCCCCTTGTGAGGAAGCTGTAGGACTCCACAGTCTCTTCTTGACTAGGCTGAGCAAACCAAAGTATCTTGGTCTCTCCTCATATGTTTTTCCCTCTAGACCTTTCACCATCTTTGTTGTCCTCTGGATGCTCTCTATTAGTCATTTTCCATGTTTTCATTTCTATTTCCTCCTGCTAATACTTCTTAATACCTAACAGCCTACACTGTCTATAGCATGATTACTTTCTAAACTCCAAGTGTCAGTACATACTTATCATGATGTAATGCTTGAAATGGAGAAGATATAGTCATTGTAAAAATTAAGGTTATGTATACAATAACTCCTTTTGCAGCAGTTGATGGAAAAGTGTGTTAGCTAAAATATTATTTATAGAGTATAGCAATGTAAATAAAAACATGGGAGTTTCAGTTATTCTATGTA